CTGAGCAAACTGTTGCGCCATAAATCCTGTATAATTATAATATATTATCTATCTGGAATCGTTTGTACTTTCTAGTAACATATAATAACATGTCTGTCTACATCAATTGATTCCTTTTTAAGCCTTGACGAAAAAATAAAGTGATTCTTTTAACCTCATGATGCTCTGGTGCTGGACTCATACTCTTCTATTATACTGCACATAGCTGTCTCTGACCTGTATGCACATGACTGGTAGAGTCTATCCCTTTAATACAAGTACATTCCATCCATGTATACTGCACAGACATCACACAGATACATTCCATCCATACATTTCACACTTACCCTGTATATCTACCCTCTATGTAAGGTATAGATTGAGGCTCCACCCCCAGATGGGCACCGGTCCCCCTCACCTGTGTGGAGTGCAGGGCGAGTGACCCAGTTGGCAGTACCAGGGCTGTACAGGCAGGAGGAGCGTCCTTGACTAATCCTACCTCTGCTGACACCGCTGATCACTGTCTGATCCCATCACTGACACCTCAGGGAAAAGGATTTCTCTCTGGCCCTAATATGTCACTGGCGGCTAATGTCCCTGATCCGGGTGTATACTATGGAACTTGCCTACAAACTATAACTACTATAGATGATATATAAACATTTATTGGATTTCTATGTACAATACACTATATAATATATATACATTTATAGGATCTCTGTGTACAATGCACTGTATGTAAAATATATACACATTTAGAGGATCTATATGCACAATACATTATATATAATATATAAATGTATATAGGACCTACCTGCGAAGCTCATGCACCAAATTTTGGAAATGAGCCAAGGGCATTTTGCGTCTTGTGTTTTTTGCACATTTTGTTGCGCAAAAAACACAAGGCAAAATGCGTGACTGCTTTCTGCGTTTGGGGGGCCATTAAGAAATAATTGCACCACAAGTGCGTCACACGTTTTTTTGTGAATTTCTGCCCGTGTGTTTTTGCTACTCCCAAATTTGAACAGGGCATAAAATACAATGTCAGATGTTCAGACGGGCACAATTTTAGATACTGTTTTTCATTGATAATCCCCTGGCTGTCTGTCAGAATGTACGGATCACAAAACTGGCTGAACAGAACTTGGATGATCAATTAATTCATATATCTGGAACTGACTTATGTGGAGATATATATATATATATATATATATACACACTGATCTATATCTGAAATAAAAAGGATTTTTTGTAAAAAACTATTTCAAGAGATGTAAATGCGTCCAGCCGAAAGCGTTTCAGAATATAACAAATGTCTTCCTTCACCAACCTTCTCTCACCATTATCTGCAGAACAATGACCCCATCGCCAAGCAACCGACACCAGGAGACACTGCAAACACAGACAGCGGAACAGAGCTGCACTGACCGACCACAACACAGCAGGTAAGGAGAAAAAGACCCCAATGTGTGACCCCCCCATCTATACAGAGACCACATTACCTACGTGTGACCCCCCCCATCTGTAGAGAGATCACATTCCCTACATGTGACCCCTACCGACCATCTATACAGAGACCACATCACCTACATGTGACCCCACCGACCATCTATACAGAGACCACATTACCTACGTGTGACCCCCCCCCCCATCTGTAGAGAGATCACATTCCCTACATGTGACCCCCACCGACCATCTATACAGAGACCACATTACCTACATATGACCCCATAGACCATCTATACAGAGACCACATCACCTACATGTGACCCCACCGACCATCTATACAGAGACCACATTACCTACGTGTGACCCCCCCCCCCCCCCCCATCTGTAGAGAGATCACATTCCCTACATGTGACCCCCACCGACCATCTATACAGAGACCACATTACCTACATATGACCCCATAGACCATCTATACAGAGACCACATCACCTACATGTGACCCCACCGACCATCTATACAGAGACCACATTACCTACGTGTGACCCCCCCCCCCATCTGTAGAGAGATCACATTCCCTACATGTGACCCCCACCGACCATCTATACAGAGACCACATTACCTACATATGACCCCATAGACCATCTATACAGAGACCACATCACCTACATGTGAACCCACCGACCATCTGTACAGAGACCACATCACCTACATGTGACCCCACCGACCATCTATACAGAGACCACATTACCTACGTGTGACCCCCCCCCCATCTGTAGAGAGATCACATTCCCTACATGTGACCCCCACCGACCATCTATACAGAGACCACATCACCTACATGTGACCCCACTGACCATCTATACAGAGACCACATCACCTATGTGTGACCCCATCGACCATCTATACAAACATTTTATCCCCTATGTGCAGGGGTGGACTGACAACTCATGGGGCCCCCGGGCAATAAGGGCCCCTGTGTCCTTGCCCAAACTCAAAAAAGCCTATGAAAAAGGTACCAGGAGCATCTCATGGGGCCCCCTACTGACCCTGGGCACTCGGGCAGTGCCCGAGTTTCCAAATGGTCAGTCCGCCCCTGCCTATGTGCTACCTCCCCACATATATAGAGAGATCATATCCCCTACATGCGACTGACTCTCCATCTATATAAGGACTACATCCCCTATGTGTGACAAAACCCCCCCATCTATACAGAGATCACATCCCCTACATGTGATCCCTCCATATTATCATTCACTGCATGTGACCCCCTCCCAAGATCACATCCCCTATATGTAACCCCCTCCATCCTTTACATGTGACCCTCCATCTATGCAAGAATGATGTTCCCCATGTATGACCCCCCCATCTATGCAGAGATCACATCCCCTATGTATAACTCTCCATCTATATAGGGACTACATCCCCTATGTGTGACAGACCCCCCCCCCCCCAATCTATACAGAGATCACTTCCCCTACTTGTGGCCCCGTCCCCGATCTATACAGAAATAATGTCTCCATGTGTGACCCCTGCCTATAAAACAGCAGTTGACAGGCAGAAGACAGGACAGCCTTTTATGTGGTCCTTACACCCTGATCCTGGGCTGACCTGTTAAATCTAAAACAGGGAGAGAATACTTGGGAATAAAAGCACAACAGCAATCCCTCATCTTTAAAAATGGCCTCTCCTGACCAGTTCTCTTTAAAATGTTTTTCATCCCTGAATTATATCCTGAAAAGTTTTCTGTCAGAGATTTCTGCTGCTGATCATCATTGTATAGCATCTTCTCCTTTATGGAGGGGTACTGGCAGGGGCAGTGATAGACTAGTTTGCACCCTAGACAAGACCAGCTACTTGCACCCCCCCCCCCCACCCCCTACAAAATAAAACTTACCTGTAGTGCTGCTTCACCCATCCTAGCACATATCTTCTTTACCCTCAAATTTTCCACCCTATCATAAATCCCCCTCCTCCCCCAAATCCTCCTCCCTCCTAGCATAAACTTCCCCCCCATCCTCCCCCACCTTACCCAACCGCACAATACACCCCCTTTAGCACAAATCCCCCCTCCTAGCCCTCAATCCCCCCTCCCCCCCCTCAAAACAAAACTTCCCTCCAAACTCCCCCTAGCACAAATCCCCCTGATAAATTCCCCCTCAATCCCCTCTACCAAAAATCCCCCCGCACAAGTCCTTCCCTCTCCTACCCAAATCCCCCTCCTAGCACAACCCTTCCCAATCTCCCTCCTAGCACAAATTCCCCCCCCCCATCAAATTCCCCCCCCCATCGGCCCCCTCCTAGCAAAAAGTCCCCCCTGCCCACCATTACCCAAATCCCCCCCCTAAACCTACCGCAACCGCACACAAGTCCTTCCTCCCTAGCAATCCCCCTCCTAGCAAAAGTCCATCCCCCCAGCACAAATTCCCCTCAATCCCCCCTCCTAGCAAAAATTCTCTCTCAAATCCCCCCTCAAAACAGAATCCTCCTCCCAATCTCCTCTCCTAGCACAAAATCCCCCCCCCCCCAATCCCCTATCCTAGCAGAAATCCCCCCCCACAACCCAATCCTCCCTGATAGCACACATCCCCCTCAATCCCCTCTATCACAAATTCTCCCCAATCCCCCCTTCCAGTACAAATCCCCCCCTCCCCATTCCCCCCTCCTAAAGCAAATCCTCTCTCCTAACACAAATTCCCACAATCCTCCCACCTTACCCAAATACCCCCTCTTTAGCACAAATCCCCCCAAACCCCCTCCCCCCAAAACTTCCCTCCTACACCTAGCACATATCCCTCTATTCCTTCTCCAAGCACAACCCCCCCCCCCCCCCCCCATCATCCCCATTACTCTACCCAGCACAAATAGCCCCATCCAGCCCCCATCCCCCCTCCTGCACAAACCTCCTATCACTGTGTACAGTTCCCTTGGCCTGTAAGCCCCCCCCCAAACATACAGGCGGGAAACCAGGTAGAGGTGCGGGTTGTGCTGTGCTCTTCCTCCTGACCATTCATCTCTTGGCAGCAGGGAGCCAGGGAGTTAATCAAACACTAAACATTCCAATGTAAGGGTGATCCTGCATCATCTACTTTATGGGGGATCACTCCACTGACGGGAGAGGACAGCACAGCCTGCACCTCCCAGCTCTCTCCTGTCATTTCTCCATTGCAGGCTTCACTGCTCCAGGCTGCTGTCCGCTTGTTCCCGCTATGAATGTGGAGATGGAGGAAGGCACTCAGCGGCCATGTACAGTGGCCATGGAAAGGCCAGTCTAGGGGGGACAACTGAAATCTGGGGGGCATAGCCCAGCACCACCTAGATTCGGCTATGGCGGAGAGTAGGGAAACCAGCGGATGTGACTGTGCCCTAGACGGCAGTCTAGTTTGCCTAGTGGTAGCGCCAGCCTTGGGGTGGTGCCTGAGCAATTGGGCAGGCATAATCTGAATGCTTCCTTTCCAGGTGTCCTTCGTCACGCCATGGCACTCGCACAGAATCAGCACAGGCACCATACGGCTATTCACCGGGAGCCACCACTGTACAAGCTGGCAGGAGTGAAGCAATCGCTGTACCACCCGATGCTGCCCACTCTTCGCAAGATGGAAGTGGACAGCGTGGGGCACAAGCTAAGTGAGGAGCACAGCCGGAGCAGTACACCCTGTACGCCTGGTGAGACACATACACGACCTCCTGTCCTCACTGCATCAGTTTGTGAAGCTTCTGAGATCATTCACAATTCATTGACACGTGCATGTGACCTGCAGTTGACCTCCTCCTGACCTACAGTTGACCACCTTCTGATCTGGGGCTGACAATGTTCTGGCCTGCAGTTGACTTCCTTCTAATCTGCAGTTGACCTCCTGACCTGACCTTCTGCAGATCTGAGGTTTTTTTCTTCTGCAGCTGACCTACCCTCCCTGGAGTGAACCTCCTTCTGACCTGCAGCTGATCTCCAGTAGATCTTCTTCTGGCTGACCTCCTGACCTGGCTTTCTTCTGATCTGCAGATTTGAGTTTTTTTTCTTCTGCAGCTGACCTACCCTCCCTGGAGTGAACCTCCTTCTGACCTGCAGCTGACCTCCAGTCGATCGTCTTCTGGTTGACCTCCTGACCTTCCTAAAAGAGGTTTTGCAACCCTATAGACCTGTATGAAAATGCAAAGCCCATTTGAAACAAACATGAGCCTGTCCACCTAGAACCTGATCTTTTGCATTACCTATAATCCAGAAGGGGTGATGGAGCCTCTAGTAATGGCAGTGGTAGGTGTGCCATTATCTTCCCACCAGAGTTCCTGACAGCCATTTGTATCATGGCGGGCTCTCAGGTAATTTGGTTGCTAGGAGTAACATACACTTTGTCTTTCAAACACATTGAAAAATGGGTCCCATTGATCCAGCCTTGTCTAACTATGACTTTCTCTATCAGAAAACTTCTGTAATGCCAGATTCGTAACGTTTGAGCCAGCTGAGCCAAGTCTGCCGTCTCTGGTGAGTGCACATTCTTGTCAGAACTGTTATCTCCTGGACGGCCATCTTGTAATTACGATCTTCTATCTCAGCAGGTCACAGACACCGGCAGGGAGGTTTCCCGGCAATACAGATCACGGTCTATGGGGCACATTGAGATTCCTGGGGTGACACCAGGGGACGGACTGAGCCTGACCCAGGCTGCCATAGATTGGTCCCGATGTGTTTCGTCGTGTGGTGAATTCCAACTGAGGGACCTAAAGAGACATGGTGAGTGACCAACACAGGGAACATCCTTCTATACACACAATGCAGGAGAAGGGCAGGGAAGGGAGCAGGGAAAAAGGATAGGAAGAGGAGGAAGAGGGAGAGGGAAGAGGATGAGAGAGGGAAGAGGAGAGGAAAGAGAGGGGAGATGAAGACTAGGAGGGGATAAGGGAAGGCAGGGGAAACCAGGGAGAAGGAAGTTGAAAGGGGACATGAGGAACAGTGGGGAGAAAGGGAAAGAGGAAGGGGAGATGGAGGACAGTCAGGGGGAAGATAGGAGGAAGAAGGAGGGAAGAGGAAAGGACAGGAAGGGGAAAGGGAGAGGAAGAAGATGGAGGGAAGAGAGAGGGAAGAGGAGGAGGACAGCAAGGGGGAGGGCAGAGGAGGAAAGAGGAGAGGAGGACAGGAAGAGAGAGGAGGAAGATGGAGGGAATAGAGAGGGAAGAGGAGAGGAGGACAGCAAGGGGGAATGAGAGGAGGATGAGAGAGGGAAGAGGAGAGGAAAGAGAAGGGAGATGAGGAACAGGAGGGAGAAATGGAAGGAGGAAGGGAGATGGAAGGGGAGAGGAGGACAGACAGGGGGAAGGGAGAGGAGGAAGAGAGAGGGAAGAGGAGAGGAGGACAGAGAAGAGGAAGGGAAAGGAGGAAGAGAGAGGAAAGAGGGGAGAGGGAAAGGGGAGAAGATAAACAGAGGGGGAACGGAGAGGAAAAAGAAGAGAAGGAACAGAGGACAAACAGGATGGGGAAGAGAGGGGAGAAAAGGAATGGAAGGAGGGAGAGGAAAGGCAGGAGAGAAAGAACAGGAGAGAGAATGGGGAACAATGGGGATGGGAGGGTAGAGGAGAAAAAGGATGGGGGAATGAGGAACGAGGAACTGAAGGAGTGCGAGCAAAGGGTGAAGGAATGAGAGGGGAGGGAAGGGAAAGGAGGAATGGGAGGGGGGGCACATGAGGTTCAACGGAAAGGAAGTAAGGGAGGAGAAAGGAGGGGGAGAGAGTGAAGGACAGGAATGGGAGAAGGGTGTGGGAAAGTGGGAACATATAGGAGAACAATAATTGAGAAGGGAAGGGCAAGAGAAAAAGGGGAAGCGGAGGAATAGAAGGAAAGTTAGGGGTGAAATGGAAGGGAATGAGGTGGAGGAATAGGGGGGATGGAGAAGGAGATGGGAAAGACAAAGTGGAAGAAAGCAGAAGACAGAGGTAAAGGGAAATAGGGGGAGGAGGCAAGAAGAAAGGGAAGAAGGAAGGAGAAATGAAAAGGGGTAAAGGGCATGGGGAAGGAATGTTGGACGGGACAATTTAATATAATCTGTGTATAGCCTTGATGAAAACAAATAGATTAAAACCCCAAAACATGATGGCTTTGATTACATAATCTAATAAAGCATATCTGGTTTGAGTACTTGACTATGTCTATAGAAGGCTTTGCCTCCCCCCCTTACTCCTGAGTTTGGACTGGTACAGTTATCATCTGCTGTACCATACATTGGATTAACATGACAGCCAAGCAACTAGCATCTTCAAGAGGTCAGCAATGGAAGACTCCTTGTTCCTGTGAGGTTTCCCATTCCACGCTCAGAGCTCAATGGGGAGCAGACATTATCATTATGAAGTGTTCCCAGCCATACCCCCTTCCTCTGGTTGAGACAAACTGTAATAGGCTTCCACTTCACCTGTGCACAGACCACACCCCTGCGCACAGACCTCACTCCTACACATTGACCCCACCCCTGCGCACAGACCTCACTCCTACACATTGACCCCACCCCTACACACAGACCTCACTCCTACACATTGACCCCACCCCTGTACACAGACCTCACTCCTACACATTGACCCCCACCCCTGCACACAGACCTCACTCCTACACATTGACCCCACCCCTGCACACAGATCCTACCCCTACATACAGACACCCCCCCCCCCAATACTTCTACTCACATCCAGGTTTCACTGCCCAGGGTGTCTCCTGTCTGTCACCACCACCACTCTAGCTACACTGGACAGTAGAGCTTACACTCCATCACTGACCTTCTTTATCTCATGCAGTCCTCGGGTACAGTGGATACGCCGTACGACACCTGAACCCTACCGTGACCCATTCCTGGAGGGTAAGAGAATTATGTAGCATGACGTGTCTCCCAGCCTGTTGATATCTTGCTAAAGCTATAGAATGTGGACCTGTCTCATAACCAACACAAATCTGAGCTGCACCTACAGTACTGATCACTGCTCACCTGCCAGTTACTCAAATTCCTGGTTTCTTCTTTCTTTCGGGGACTCTAACGGTGAGATCTCTGCACCTAGTTCCCAGGTCTGCACCCCTGTTGTGCTCAGTACAGTGATCTCCCCAACTGTGATGTGCATGGTGACCCCCATTTGTGCTATGTATGGTGGTCTCTTTGCCTGTGATCTCCCTGTTTGTACTATGTATGGTGGTCTCTCCAACTGTACTATGCACAGTGATCTACCACCTAGGATGCATACGGGGTTCTTCCCATCTGTGCTGTGTATGGTGATCTCTCCACCTGTGATGTGTACAGTGATCTACCACCTTGGATGTATATGATGTTCTTCCTATCTGTGCTGTCTATGGTGATCTCTCCACCTGTGATGTGTACAGTGATCTCCCTGTTTTGTACTATGTATGGTGGGGTCTCCAACTGTAATATGCACAGTGATCTACCACCTTGGACGTATACGGGGTTCTTTTCATGTGTTCTGTGTATGGTGATCTCTCCACCTGTGATGTATACAGGTTTCTTCCCATCTGTGCTGTGTATGGTGATCTCTCCACCTGTGATCTACCACCTTGGATGCATACGGGGTTCCATACAGGGTTCTTCCCATCTGTGCTGTGTATGGTGATCTCTCCACCTGTGATGTGTACTGTGATCTACCACCTTGGATGTATACGGGGTTCTTCCCATCTTTGCTGTGTATGGTGATCTCTCCACCTGTGATGTGTATTGTGATTTACAGTAAATGATGCATACAGCAATCTCCCCATTTTTTCCTGTAGTACTGCCTTCACCAAACACCATCCCTGGACTCAACAGGACAGTCACCTCTGCCTGCTGACACACTGTAAGTCGCTATTGCTTGGGCTTCATTTACCCATTTTACCCATTTTTACAGCTCTATGGATGCTGTCGGTGGTATATTGTACAATAAAGTCACTAAAGGTTAAGTCCAGCAAAACCTTTTTTAGTTTTTGAAGGAATAGGGAAGGATTAGAACTCTAGTCAGGTGTATTCCCCTATCTGGGGATCTAATGGATTCCCCTATCTGGGGATCCATTAGAGAGCTTTACTCTCACTTTCTGTTCTGATGACAACAGTTGTAAATGGACAGGAATTGTGAGAAAAATCTGAACCAGGGACACAGATAACAATACAAATCTTGCACAAAGCCTTGTTCACCTTATACATGCAGAAAAACTGATGGAAACTGATGCACAGATTTCACTTGCAGAGACATCATTTTACATGCGCACTATAATGAGTTTTATACACGTGGCAGATTCCTGCGCAGAAAAATTCTGCAGGTGATACTAGTGATGTGGTGTGAACAGGACACATAGAGAACAATTGATTTCATTGTGCCCTTGCAGAATGCATGTAGAAAAACTGACATCTCTGCAGCATGGTGTGAACACGCACTGTTTTAGTCTTCTGTCACAGTGATGGGAGATCTACTAAAGCTGGAGCACTCAGAATCTGGTGCAGGTGTGCATGATAGCCAATCAGCTTCTAACTTTAGCTTGATCTATTAAGCGTTGGCAATTATACTTGGAATCTGATTGATTTCTATCTGCACCTGATTTTGCACAGTCCAGCTTTAGTAAATAAATCCCTGTCTGTCTGGTGATACCAATGTCATTGTTACAGGAAGTGAAGGAAATCTCTCTCATGGAGCCTCAGATAGCAGTAAACTCGGCAGGGGGTCTAGTGCTTCCCTACTCCATCCAAAAGTAAAAAAAAGAAAACAACTTTAATGTTTTCATTTCCCTCTGTGTCCTCTGTAAAAAAAAATATTTAGGGGCATGTTCACACTCCCTACCCCTTCTGTGCACCGAATATCAGCAGTAACATTATAATGGTATTCAGTCACCCTGCTTTTCCTGTGTACAGCACTACAGGGAATGTCAGCACCAAATGAATCTTGAACAAGACACAGGAGATTCCATATCTACTAACACTCATTAATGTGCATGTTTTTCTTCCAGAAACACTTTTCGTTCATTTGAATCATCATATAGGTAAGTTCAACTTACATCATCCTGCCCCGAGATACTTGACCATGACCTGAGAGTCCCACCATGACCCAAGAGCTTCATCAATGGCTTGAGAGTCCTTACCACAACCCGAGAGTCCCGACCATGTCCTGAGAGTCCCAACTATGACTCAAGAGCCCCAATCATGCATGACCTGAGAGATTCAACCATGATCTAAGAGTCTAGACTATGGCTTGAGAGTCCCTACCATGATCTAAGATCCACAACCATGACCTGAGAGTCCCACCATGACCCAAGAGCTTTGTCCATGGCCTGACAGTCCCAACCGCAACCAGAGAGTCTGGACCATGGCCAGAGAGCCCTGACCATGGCCTGAGAGTCTCATCTATGGCAAAAGAGCCCCAATCATGGCTGAGAGATCCAACCAAAATTGAACAGTCCTGACGAAGGCCTCTGAGTTCAGGCTATGACCCAAGAGATCCCTACCTATAACTAGTAACACAAGCAATGAATCAAGGGGCTATTTATTATGACCCAGGAGCCCAAAGCATGACTCGAGAGCCTCAACCATGATCTGAAAGCCCTAATCATGACCTGAGAGCAGCAACTATGACCCAAAAGCCCAGACCATGACCTCAGAGCCCACAATCATGACTCAAGAACCCTATCTTTAACCCAAGAATCCTCAGCCATGAACCAGGGGTCATCAATTTTGACCCGGAAGCCTCAACAATGACATGAAATCCCTGACTATGACTCAAAAGCCCTGACCATGCCCTAAGAGGTTTAACCCAAGAGTCCTGCCCATGGCCTGAGAGTCCTGTCCATGATCTAAAAGCCCTGAAAATGGCCTGAGAGTCCCAACCAGGACCTAAAAGCTAGGACAATGGCTTGAGAGCCCCAGTCATGACCATAGAGCCCTGACCATGACCCAAGAACACTGTGAACAGAAAGCCCAGTATTATGACTAGAGCCCTAAAAATGATCTGAGAGCCCTAGCTTCGACCCAAGAGTCTCAACTATGATCCAAGAACCCTGACTATGACCCAACAGCTCTGACTCCAGAGTTCCCAACCATGAACTGAGAACCTTAGATATAACCAAAGACTCCCAACCATGACCTGGCAGCCCCTACCAGGACCTGACAGCAGCAACTATGACCCAAGAGTCTGACAATGCCTAAGATACCCAACTATGACCTGAGACCTTATTTGTAGTGACCACACAGACATCAGAGAATAGGCAGAAATTATAGAGTTGCTGTTAATCAAAGCAGACACTTTGCTCACATATTGGATGTTAGGTCTGCAAAACAGGACAATGCTGCCCATATAACATCTCTTCCTGGAAATACAAAAGTGCTAATCAGATCAGGTAATTCAGTTCTTGCCATTGCATAGAGACAGATGAGGCTCTACAGACATTCCATCTGGCAAATATTTCATATGTTGTTGTGTTCTACTTCCTACCAGCCGAAACACTTACCTGCGACCTTGGCACTGAACGAGGAGAGAAGATTACACAATTCCAATGGAAGGAAGGGTTGAGGGGACATCACATGATTAATAAAAATACATTGAGAAAACCTTCATGATGCTCATTCATTCTGCATAATATTCCAACCTTTACACAGTCATAGTGTGGTACCAATTGGTCCCAGGGCAGTAGTCACCAAAATGAGTATAGCACCAACTGGATCCTACACTCTTTTCTTCCACAACCAGTGGTACCACCTGGACCCAGGGCTGTATTCATCCATAACCAGAGTGGTACCACCTGCTTCTAAGGCTGTATTAACAAATAACTAATGTGGTACCACCTAGACCTAGGACTGTATTCACCGATAATCAAAGACGTATTGCCTGCTTCCAGGGCTGCGTTCACCAATAACCAATGTGGTAGAACCTAGACCCAGGGCTGTATTCATCCATAACCAGAGTGGTACAACCTGGTTCCAGGGCTGTATTCACAAATATCCAACATGGTACCACTTAAACCCAGGGCTGTACTCACTGAAAGCCAGAGTGGCACCACCTGAACTCAGGGTTGTGTACATCCGAAACTAGTGTGGTACCACTTGCTTCTAGGGCTTCACTCACCAATAACAATTGTGGTACCACCTGGTTCCAGGGCTCTGTCAGCAATAATCAGACTGGTACCACCTGAACCCAGGGTTGTATTCCCTGATAACCAGAGTGGTGCCACCTGAACCCGGGGCTGTATTCACTGATAAGCAGAGTGGTATTGCCTAGACCCAGAGCTGTATTCACCAATAATCAGAGTGGTACCACCTGGGCTCAGGGCTGTATTCACCAATAACCAGAGTGGCACCTGGGCTCAGGGCTGTATTCACCAATAACCAGAGTGGCACCACCTGGGCTCAGGGCTGTATTCACCAATAACCAGAGTGGCACCACCTGGGCTCAGGGCTGTATTCACCAATAACCAGAGTGGCACCACCTGGGCTCAGGGCTGTATTCACCAATAACCAGAGTGGCACCACCTGGGCTCAGGGCTGTATTCACCAATAACCAGAGTGGTAACCCCCTGGACCGAGGGCTGTATTCACTAATAACCAGAGGGGTAACCCCCTGGACCGAGGGCTGTATTCACTAATAACCAGAGTGGTAACCCCCTGGACCGAGGGCTGTATTCACTAATAACCAGAGTGGTAACCCCCTGGACCGAGGGCTGTATTCACGAATAACCAGAGTGGTAAACCGAGGGCCACCAGAGTGGACCCCCTGGACCGAGGGCTGTATTCACTAAAAACTAGAGTGTTATCAACTAGACCTAGTACTGTATTCATGGATAACCAAAGTTGTACCAGCTGGATCCAGGGCTGTATTCATCAATAACCAGAGTGGTACCACCAGTACTCAGGACTGTATTCAACCATAAACAGTGGTACAGCTTGATGCTGGGTCCCATATACACTGCCCAGTGCCAAAATAATACTGCCTAGTGCCAAGATCTTAATATATTATCAACCAGAATGTAACAAACTAACCAGTGCTGCCTGTTTAGGGGACCTGTATACACTAAAAAACCACAGCGGTGCTGTCTGGTAGCAGAACCTATAATCACCATCATTGTACTGCCTAGTGTCAGGACCTGTATACATGAATATCCAACTTGGTGCTGCCTGGTGCAGAGACCTGTATACGCCAATAAATAGGATGGTACCACCTAGTACTGAGATCTGTACACAACGGATATCAGGACTGATTAGGACATATGGGTGTTATAAACATTTCTGACACCTGCAGGTATTACAGTTCCCCAACCAAGTCTCTCACCACACAAACATATCTCTGGTGTGGGTCTGCATAAATCAGGGCAAGTAAGGCCAGGCTTTGCCAACACTGACCAACACACGGTCTCCATATACACAGTTTTTATTACTGGGTCACATGGATAGGTGTATAAAATGCTGATTGGACAGAAGGTGGGGATGGGGTTCTGGTAACACTGGGTGATGCTAGTATTGGAGGCCATACAGGGGGGAGATGGGCAGTGAGCAGAGGGCACCCCTCCAATGTCCAGAGTCAGTTTTAAGGGAGACACCCAGCCACCTGGAAGGCCCCTTCGGTGGTGTGTTGGGTGCTATGCTCCTGCAGTTGGGTCAGCTCATGGAATCGTTCGCCGCACCATAGACACTTGTACTGCTGCTCTCGGTTGTGGACACTTTGGTGTTTGTTGAGATGTTCCCGCTGCTTGAAGCTCTTGTCGCACGACGGGCACTTGTAGGGCTTCTCGCCCGTATGTACCCGTCGATGTCGTTGCAGGTCTGAAGCGTATTTAAAGCGTTTCTCGCAGTCCGAACATTTCAGTGGTTTGTCCCTGGCTGGGTCGCAACGATGCTGCACAAACTCTGACGAGGAGAAGAAGCGGCGTTCGCACGCCGTACAGCGCAGCGGCTTCTCTGAGCAATGAGCCGCCTGGTGCTTCTGCAGAGCGGAGGAGCGTTTGTAAGTCTTGTGGCACACGCTGCACTGGAAGGGCCGCTCCGAGACGCTCTGGCCGCATTTGTGTCGCAGGAGCTCCTGAGATTGGCTAAAACCCCGCTGGCAGGCGTTGCATTTAAAGATGCTCTCTGCTCCGTGCTGGGTGAACACCTTCTCGCACAGTGTGCAATTGGGATCGTCGGTTTTATGCGTGCGTCGATGTCTCATGAGCGCGTACTGCTGCTTGAAGCTCATCTGGCACAGGTCGCAATGAAAGGGACGCTCCTCGCTGTGCGTGCGCTCGTGCTGCCTCAGGTCGGACGGCCGGCGGAAGGTTTTCTGACAAACACTACAGCGGAAAGGTCGCTCTCCGGCCGGGGTGCATGGGTGTTGCAGCAGCTGAGAGGACTCCTTGAATCGCAGCTGGCACGTCTGACACTGGAAGAGCTGCTCACACGGCGGCATGGGCGTACATGTGACGCAGGAGGTGCGAGCGATGCTTGAAGCTTTTCTCACACACGGTGCACTTGTAAGGGCGCTCGGAGCTGTGTGTGCGCTTGTGATGCACCAGGTGCGAAGACTGGCTGAAGCTTTTGTCACACAGTGTACACTTGTACGGCTTCTCACCCGTGTGAACGCGTTCGTGCCGAGACAGTTCTGAAAGGTGCTTAAAGGGTTTGTGGCAGAGCGTGCAGCTGAATGGTCGGTCGTGCGTGGGGGGAGGCGGTGGTAGGGGTGGGGGAGCTCCAGGTAAACAGGCCCTGTCGGCGTCCGGAGATTTGTAGGTCTTTTCACATATGGAACATTTTAGGGCACTGCCGTTATGGGCATTGTGATGTTGCGCCAGCGAGGTTAGCAGGGAGAAGCCCATCTTGCACACTCCACACACAAATGGTTTTTGCTCCACCTGAGCACACTGGTGCTCCAGCAAGTCAGTGGCCTGGTGAAAGATCTTCAGACACTGGGTACATTGGAAAGATCGGTCCTGGTTGGCGGGCGTCAGACATTGGTGCTCTTGTGGATTGCCAAGATGGGACAGGTCGTGGCCACACAGTCCACATTTGGGCTCGCTGGGGGGTAATGGTGGATGCTGAACCCCCAGGTCAGGCTGCAGCAGGATGCCGTAGACGGCACAGCCCAGAGGGTTCTCAGCCGAGCCAGGCGGGGGGATGGCGTGCTCCCCAAGAATGATGGACTGCTGTGGAGCTTGTTGCTGGTTGGGTTGCATGGAAGGAGGAGGGGCTTGTGCGTGAGGCCAGCCCTCCGACATGCTGGGGAGGAGCAAATGGGTGCTGATTCAGGATGTTAGATGGTGTCGAGTCATCGGTCATCAGACAGAAATCCGAGGAAGCATGTCATGCCATTGTCCATGAAGAACCTGCAATGATAAAACAAAAGGCTATACATGTCATGTGTGTGAGTGTGGGCAAAGCGTATGTACCTATTCATCATCCTCCATTAGTTTGTAATTCTGTCAGGACAACGGACTATAGGAGATATACTAAAAAAAAAATGGGATTTTTGTACTTACCGTAAAAAACATTTTGTAGAGTCCATTGAGGGACATAGGAATTCAGAGAATGATGGGTTATATTTCCACCTACAGGAAGATTTAAAAAGAAAAAAAACATTAAAGGCCAGTCTATGATAAACCCTCCTATTTTTAGCATGTCTTGTTTGCTGGAAAAGCCCTATCAAGAACATAATCATAAACAGAGATGGGGGGACCTATGTCCCTCAATGGACTCCAGGAAATAGATTTTATGATAAATACAAAAAAAAAAAAAAAAAAATTTTCTTTCTCATCCATTAAGGAACACAAGAATTCAGAGACAGTTGGGATAACAAAAGCAGTCCACATCCACAAGAGCTAACAGGCCCAAACAAGAGAACTGGGGACTACCTGCAGCTCAAAGAACCGCTCAAAGGACCTTACACCTGAAGAGGAGGCCTGGACATCCACCTGGTAGAACGTGGACAACGTGAACAAAAGACCAAGGGGCAGCCTTACAGATCTTAGTAACAGAAGTATGAAGGCAGAGAGCCCAAGAAGAGCTCATAGATGCAGTAGCGTGCACCTTGATAGGAAAGGGTGATTGATGATGGCTTGTCTGAGCCACTGAGAAATGGTGGAACTAGAAGCCGGTTCCCCTTTACAGGGACCATCAGCAATGTCAGAAAGCCAGTCTCACTACACAAATTACATCCAGGTAATGGAAAGAGATCTCTTTCTGATGATCTAGAGTCGGAAAGAGGGATGGAAGAACAATGTCCTGGTGGAGGTGAAAGGCAGAGGCTACCTTAGAGAGGAAGGAAGCTCTGGCCATCAACACCACCTGGTCCTTGTGCAAGACCAGAAATGGTTCTTTACAGGACACAGCAGCCAGATCAGTCACTCGCCTTGCATAAGTAATGGCAAAAAGGAATGCAACTTTGTGGGTGAGAGTGGGAAGAAGAAATTCCCTAATCAGTTCTAAAGGTGTTTATGTGCAATGCCAAGAGAACCAAATTTAAATCCTATAGAGTCTTTTGAGAGTGCACAGAAGGGCCACATGGGAGACCTGCCGTACAAAGGTCTAGATCAGTGGTCTCCAAACTGCAGCCCTTTGCTTCACTTTATCTGGCATCTGGGGCACTATTCCTCCCACTGATACAAGGCTCTTTTCCTTCCACTGACACCAAAAGTGAGGCACTATTCATTTCACTCACACCGATAGTGGTTCATTATTCCTTACATTGACACCAATGATAGGGCATAGCTCATTCCACTGATGCCAATGAAGGGACACTATTCCTTCCACTGACACCAATGATAGGGCATAGCTCATTCCACTGACACCAATAAAGGGGCACTATTTCGTCCACTGACACCAATGATAGGGCATAGCTCATTCTACTGACGCCAATGAAGGGACACTATTCCTTCCACTGACACCAATGATAGGGCACTATTCCTCACCCAAGGACCACAGGCACTATGTAATTTTTTTCACCTCCACTGAACAAGCTTGAGACATCTACTTCCATTGATGTTGGGGCATTTTCTACTAGCCAAGGGCCACAGTCTGGTCCCCTACAATCTAAAGGACGGTAAACTGACCCTTTACTAAGAAAGTGTGGAGACGCCTGGTCTAGCTCAAAGAATGAAAAAAACAGCAGTCTCCAAAACAAGACTGCAAGTGTAGAGACCAGACCCTTGATGATAACAAGGGCCAGATCCAGGCCCACCTGCACAAGACCAGCATTAGTCCCATAGAGGATTGTCTGAATGAAAATTACTTGCCTTGCACCAAGTGAAGTATGCTTCCACAAGCAATTATAGACCTAGTGGGCTTCCTGGTTTTTACCATTGTGGGAATCATTGACGCAGAGGTTCTCCAGAGGTGCTTCCACAGCCATGCTATTAAAACAATCAAGAAGCAGGGTGGTAAATCAGTCCTTGAGACAGAAAACCTGAAAAGCTCATGGAGCGCCTGCCAGGAGTACGATCACATTGGAGTACTGCATTTGGACCAGTCTGGATTACTGGAATGCCCTCAATCTTGATGCTGTGAAGAAGCAGAAGTCTTGGGCAGGAAAAGTGTATACTGATCTCGTGGAGTCACCAGATCATCAACTGCTTCTCCAAGAGGATCTCTGCACCTGGAGAAACATCTGTCCAGATTGTTGTTGAATCTGGAAGCCATGAGGTCCACATCCAATGAAACACCTAGGTGGACCATTGGCAGACAGACTTGCTCAGCTGGCAGCAGATGGACCTGACCAGGTGTTCCAGGACCCAGGTCTTGCAACATGTGACTGGGTCCAGGCACTGCCAGCTGAGAAAGCCTGCCGGCCAACAGACCACCCTGGATTGTAAACAGGATTTGGATCCACGGAACGAGCAGTCCACCTTTTGACAAAGTCCTCCTCAAATGGGTACAAGCCTGATAGATGATTGGGAAGGAGAAAACGCGTAAGAGGTCTTCCAGTCTCCATAAAAGAACGTTGAGAACAGCAGGAGCACTGGGAAGGTCTTGGGAGCCCTAAAGGAGCCTAGACTGGGGACAAAACTAGTAGAAGCTGCAGGATGGTTATTGCAGTGTGAGCTAGGGCCACGTGGTACAATGGGACTGTCCCTCATTTGTCTTGGATCGGACATGTTGCACAACAAGGTGGACCACCACGTAATTCCGGGTGTCCTACCATCCGGCCAAGCAGGGTTGGGGTATGGCCAGCTCACACAGTGAGTCTTTAGAGACAGGGACACAACTAGGACAGCAGAGCCTGGGGCCTGAAGATCACACTCCAGAAGGGCCCCACCATCATCTTGTCCAGTGGGTCAAGGTACGGCCTGCTATCACAGTGAGCATTCAGAGAAAAGGGTCACAATTCAGGCTGCAGAGCCTGGGGACCGAATGTCACACTAAAGAAGGGCCCCACCATCATCGTCCAGCGGGGTCCGGCCTCCAGATTCCCCAGTGAGCACACAGAGGACATCCTCCTGTTGGGGCCGTAAAACCCAGCAGACTCTGAACTCCTCAGTACCTCAATGAAAGAAATAATATAATAACAATTATAATGTACAGGGTGGGGGGTGTGATATAACTACACGTATAATGTATGGGGGTAGGGAATGGGTGTCATAATAAGATGTATGATGTGGGGGGGATGGGTGATATAAGATGTATATGGTACAGGGGGATGATCCAATAAAATGTATGATGTACGGGGGGATGGCGGATATAATGTGGTGTATAATGTAAGGGGGCAGGGTGATATAATGAGATGTATAATGTATGATGGGGGGGGGGGGATAAGGTGATATAACATGTATAATGAACAAGGGGAGATTGCTGGTATAATAAGTTGTATAACAAGTGTGTGTTTATAATGTGCGTGGGGGGGATGGGTGATATAAAAACATGTATAATGTACAGGGGAAGGGGTGATTTAATAAGATGTACAATGTATAATGTACAGGAGGGGGTGTGGTTTGATAAAATAATATATATTGTACGGGGTGGGATGGGGGGTTAATATAATGATATTTATATAATGTAGGGGTTGGGGGGGGCCATAATATGTATGACATACGGGGGGATGGGTGATATAATAACATGTATAATGTACAGGGGGTGGGGATATAATAAGATGTATAAAGTACAGGGGGAGGGGCAATATTATAACAGGTATAATGTACTGGAGGGGAGGGTGGGAGAGAAATGATATAATAAGATGTATAATATACAAGGGGGAGATGGATGATATATTAGGATATTCAGTGTGTGTGTGTGAAGAGATAATACATAATGTACAGGGGGGGGTGATATTATATAATGTACAGGGCTGGTGATATATAATGTACAGGGGGGGGGGGTGATATCATATAATGTACAGGGCTGGTGATATATAATGTACAGGGGGGGTGATATCATATAATGTACGGGGGGGCGTGCTGATATCATATAATGTACAGGGGGGGG